CCCGCCGTGTGTGGTGGGTAGGTCGGGTCGTGGCTCTCCGCTCGGCCTTGCGGTTCTCTTCGTGTCCGTGCTCGCTGTCTGAGGTTTCCTGGATACTCATCGAACTGGACATAGCAGTAGCCCTTGGTGAGGACCAGCGCCCCGTCCCTCTCCGGAAGCAAGCACCAGGCCTCGGTCAGTAAGGGAAACTTCTGAGGGGTTGGGGGAAAATTGTTGTAGAAAGCGTTTTAACTTGCTGTCGTTGGTGTCCACTGAAATCCGTGGTAGTGCCACGCTTAGGACTGATGTCATCGTTGCAGCTTTGTGCACCTTACAGAGGGAGCAAATCTCCTGAGCCTGCCTGTGCCTTGGTCGTAACTTCTTTAACGTTTCAACTTTACAGGTGGCTTCATCATGGATGAAACTGTTGCTGAATATATCCGAAGAACTGTACTAAAAATCCCACGAGATGAAATCAAGACAATGCTACAGAAATGGGGCTTTCTCTCAGAGGCGCAGCTGCAAACCATAAACTTCCATCAGTTAAAGGATAACATTTCTCAAGATGTTGTTCAGCTCTGTGAGGTAATCCTTTCCTTTGGGAGCTGCTTGTCAGTGGCATACAGGATGCATGTTGAAGCACCATCAAAAAAACATTCTCATGAAGAAATTAATTTTTTTTTTTTTTTTGCCATAACACAGCATCAAATAGCAGTTTGTAGCCTGGAAAATGTAAAGCTGAGCTGGTAATATCATCGATTTTGTCTGATTGATAGGAGTTCAGGATTTACCATTACTGAGCATAGTGGTACATATTTTTAGCTGTAAATTGTACAAGATAAGTAAAAGCTCAGTGTGTTAAACCTTTAAGTGGGTGTATTTCTAAATTGTAAAATAAAGGCATCGATTGCAATGTGTACTCATTACATAGTGCTAATTTCAATCGATTTAGTATGAGTAATGATAGCACTAGTTTATATCTTTTAGAATTTTTTTTTTTTAAATTTTCCTCGGCCAGAACTACTTCCATTCTGTGTACTGTAAGAAAAAAAAAAGTTTTCTGATCTCCTACTTATGTACTCTGATTTTGGTGTACCAGGAGTCTGTATACATAGTATCATATATCCATACAGATACAGTTATTACTGCTATTGCTTAAATTCCATAGCTTTTTGTATCACTGCCTTTGAATTTCATCCTCAAAGTTTAATTACATGGAGCGTAGATCAAACTGCAGGCAAGAAACTGTTAAGTTATTCTTGTAAGATAGCAAATGTCATCTTTTAAAATAACATTTGTTTCTGAAACATTCTTATCTGTAACAAGTACTGCCATAAGTTTCTTAAAAATCTTTTCATGCTGTAAAGGTTACATAAGGAAGAACCAAGCGTGTTAAAATTTCTGACAGTGAAATACTAGTCACTGTTGCATAATGTCATAAATATTCATTAATTTTACTTTCTAATTGCTTGTACATGATACTGTAAGGACAGTGTTCTTGTTGCCTTTGCAGAAACACTTAAACCTTGCTGAAGTAGCTTTTGTTATTGATTTCTCAGAACTGTATTGTGTGCACATTGGGACCAGGTGTGGTGTCTTTGAGGAGAATATGTGTTGTGGACTTCACTGCAGTGTGATTTAAACTACCAGTATTGAGATTTTTCACTTACAGTGTGATAGCACATTCTGGACTTGCAGTTCACCATGTACTGTTACTCTTTCCAGGAGAATTCTGCAGACATAAAACAAGCAGCTGTCCTAGACATAATTTGTAAGTAGAAAATGAATTAAAATAACATCTTTATTTTTTTTTCTGAGTAACTTGATAACGCCCTTCATTACATAGCAATTGCCCTAGTGAGGTACAGATGCATTTGAAGTAAACAGATTACATTTTAGATGATGAATCCTACTGGATCTGACCTCTTTTTATAACAATTTCAAAAGCTCAAAATCAGCAAAAGCGTGTTTGCTTCTTTTGAGCTCTAAATCTAAACTGTGGTAAGCTACATCCAGCACACAGTTATAAATGTAGAAAGGTATGTTTGTCTCCAGTACATGTCGAACCCTAAAACCAGTAATATTGTGCTCCAATAGGGAGTGACATAGGCAAACTATTGGTAAGTACTCCAGGTGGAACTCTAAAGCCAATATTAATTCACAACTTGTATGTAGTAGTTTAAATCTCAAGGTTTCTTTTAGCAGTCTACACTTCTTAGTTTGAGTTTAGACTAAGTTTCAGTCACTTTAGGTAAAATCCTTCTTTAAACACTAACTTCAGAGATACCCTTTATTAGTTGCTTTACTGAATTATAAAAGATCTTCCCATCTCTTTTAATAGAAAAATATTTTGCTGTCAGCTTTAGTATGAGTGGTAGTTTAAGAATGCTGAAGAAATTATATTGCATTATCAGAAGTAATCTATTTGAAATAACCTGGTCATAAAAGTATTGTAAAATTATTTGTACCATCTGATAATACACTGTGTTACTAAGCAATTCCTATTTTTCATAGACAACTACATCTACCCAAACAAAAGAGTGTGGAGTGTTTACCAGATGAACAAAACAGGTAAAGTGCCTTTCCTTGCTGTAATCTCACAGTTCTTGGCAACCTACTGCAGTGCTTCCTCGGGTCATACATTTTAAATACCAATATAGTCAGGTATGGATTTTTTCACCAGAGATTTCTTGAATGTTTTTACAATACTTTCTATTAACTTCTGAAGCAGTTATTAGATATTAGTAACTACTAATTAAATATTAACCTTTTGTCTACATAGCAATAATGAAGCTCAAATTTAATACACAGCTTTTCATATAAGGCTATGCGACTTCAGCTTTTTCTGCTTAATTTTGTTTCAGCAAAACTAAAAACATCTGAACTACTTCTTGTAAACACAGTTCTCTTTTTTTTTTTTTTTCTTCCTTGTGTAACAGGGGAAGAAACAGATTTTTTTGACTTAACAGATTTCAAAAAAAAAATTAAAAGACGACTTCGCTCAGCCTTGAAAAATGTAAGAATAAATCCATTCTAAATTTGTTACACAGCTCTGGTGTCAATAGCTTGTTTTCATAACTTTTTTCTTATAGTCTACATCAAAAATTAAGTGGAATTGTTCATTTGGGAATGGTAGGAACTGCATGTGAAATAGGAAAAACGTATTGCATGTTTGTTCTAGCAACTTTACAATTATGCTGGAGTGAAATAAAATGTAAGTTTGCCTTAAAATATGACAGGCTTCAAGAAAGGCAGTGTGTTTATATTTCTATCAAATCTTTGCCCTATTTGAGTGTACATGTTGCCCAGGTATGTTGATACTGCTTTGTCCTGTCACCCAATAACAATACACAAACAAAAAAAAAATGGATCAAACGGAGTATTCGGGCAATTTGAAGTAGCCAGTAATGAGGAGAAGGAAGTTCAGTAATGAGTTAAATTAGCAGCAAAATTGTATCCATTTCGTTTTAGTTCTGGTTTTGAAATGACAATTTTGTGATGGCTGTAAGAACTTGACCCTGGTATTTCATTACATTATAATGACTGAAAGACCACTATCAATAGCAAGAAGCAGTTTCTAGACTACAGAAATGAGCACACTATGAAAAAAATAATGGAAAGGAAGTACTGCCATCTCGCTTTTTTACTAAGCAATTTGCAGAAGCCTTTTCTTGCTTTAGCTCTCCAGCGTCATTTTAAGCAAGGTAACAGAAAATGCCTCAGGCTAGTTAGGGGTGTCACTTCTTGACACACAAAGGATTCCCACTGACAACAGTAGAGGGCAACAAATACAAATCAGACTAACAGAGACTCAGCTGCAGTTCATATAACGCTATTAAAATTTTCCAATTCTTTTTTTTTTTTTTGTTAAAAAAAGTCCACAAAAACTTTGAGAAGTTATGTTGGTCCAGCAACTTAAACAGTTTGTTGCCTGTGGTCTAGCTGGACAAAAAGCTTGGCCTCATGTGCGTCAGGTAAAGGGATGGGTTTTTTTAAAGACGTTTTCCCACTTTTAAGTCACCCAGATTGATTCAAGGTAAGAAGAAGTAACCGAGGAGCAAGTCCACAAGAAAAGGAAAGGGAGTCTTTTTCAAATTTCTGATTGTGTATTCTTGAGCAATGATAAATACTACATTCAAGTCTAAAATCACAACTTGATCAAAAGTTTAGTTTCTCAAAAATTAGGCATATTGGAAATACTGTCACTAGCCCTCTATCCAAATAGATACTTTTTTGTTTTGTTATTTTCCCAAAAGAGAGAATTAAGGCTTTTGTAATAAGCTATCTTTATTTTCACGCTTCGGAAGAAAATGTACATCAACAGGAACAAAAGTCATTACAGTTTGAAAGGTGATTTTTTTTTTTTTCTTCCCAGTTTGTGAGGTTATTTGTTTTTAAATACAATCCTGACCATGCTAGTGGGATTTGTTTCTTATTCAGGCAGTGGTGTACTAAATTATGTTTGGGTCTTGTGAACACAGGGTTAAGAGATAACAAAATCTTTCTGGACATCTGAATGTGCTGGTAAATCAAATCCTTTCTTTTCCTGTTTAGGTCACCGTCACCTTTAGAGAATATGAGGATAATGCAGTCTGGATTAGAATTGCCTGGGGAACGCCATATACAAAACCAAACCAGTACAAAACCAGCTATGTTGTATACCATTCACAGACTCCCTATGTCTTCATTTCTGCCTCGGTGCTTAAGAGCAACTTGCCTCTGCTATGTCAGGTCAGAATAAAACCGTGTAGACTCTGACTTCACCATAGTCATGTAGAGCTATAATTGCGTTAGCTTTTAAGAGGATGGGTAAAGATTCGTCACTTAATGTCGTTTACTAATTTACATAGTCTTTTTTTTTCCACCTTAACCCATGATAAAAATGGGGCAAAACCCAATCTTTTTGACCTTTGGAATGGTGCATCATGAATAAATTCAGTTTATTGGGATTTTTGCTGACCTAGAATTGTTCTAGTTTCTTAACCAAGTGTTAGGCAATATTGAGTTAAATTGTCTCAGCAGTTGAAGAACATTACATCAACACAGTTAACTTCAAGAACTAAATGTACGAGCTCATCAGGGAATGCTATTAATTAGTCTTAAAAGGCATTTTCTTCCAGCTGGTGGTGATCAGCATTAGTAGTCTTTAATTTTTTTTATCTATTTAGCAGACTTCTGTACTAGTAATTTAATTATTTTATTAATATGTTTATTTTATGTATTTATTTTTCAGCTGATAAGGCTATAGGCTTGTCTGGTTAATCCTGTGAATGCTTTTAAATATTATCCTAAGCTTAATAACAGTCTATTCAACATTTTTTCAGACATGAGAATCATGCTAGTTAAAGGGCAGTTGCTTACCTTGGAAAAAAACATCACAATGTCTAGAAATACTGTATTTTTTCCATATTGTAAACACAGTGATGATTAAGACTGATGTTAAAATAATTTCAATTTTTATTTAAAGGCTCTGGTTGTTGCTTCCAATTACCATGACATCCGTGAAATGGAGCTTCGAAGTCATTCTTTAAACTCCCTCAAAGATATTGTGTTTAAGAGATATAGCCAGGTGAGCCACTTCACAAGTACATCCTAAGAGAAGTCTTGCTTTTTGTTTCAGGCCTAGTTCTCACCCCCTAGTGGGGGGGGGGAAAGTCACCTCTTCCAAGAGACGATCAAGTTAAAATAATATTGAACTACTGAGGTGGACAGCCTTTCATTAAGGTAACATTACAATGGGGATGTAATTACTTGGTATCCCACCTATACTTTATTATTGTTATTGCTGGTGGTTAAACTCAGTCTAAACATTGTATGAAGAATTTAGGATTTTTTTAGTGTCAATTCACTAGGCTTCCTAGAGCAATGAGTTGAGGGCTGTTAGAATGGGCACTTACTCTGCTCCTCCATGTAAAACTTGTCAATAGGGAAATTTAATAAATATCATAGGACAGGCATTCTTTTCTCAAAATAAAGCTGGGCTTTCTGACTTCTAATAATTGTTAAAAGTTGGGAGAATACTCACTTTCAGAATGAGAAAGAAATCTGGAAAGTTCTTTTCAGCTACAGCCTCTAAAAGTAGAAATGAACTAAAAGCTTTTTTATTTTTCCTCTCTCTCCATTTAGAACTTCCAAACTTATTATCCGAAACCTCTACAAGAAAGGGACATAGCACCAGAAACTGGTATGTATATTTTAAATTAAACAGCAGTTTGAATGTCATTACTGAGATTCATAATAGGAAATGTACGTATGTTACATTCACGTTATATTATCCACCCCTGGTGGGGTTCCATATTTGCTATCACTAGGAGAGGTAAATATTTCCCCATGGCTGTCATTGGACACGGTTAAGAAACAAAAAATATCCAGTGCTCAGTATCTCTTTTCATATTAGCTTGTTTTTTTCTCTTGGTAAGAACTGAAAATATAAAAAATATAGACAATATGAAAATATAAATGATAGAGACAACTAGCCTATGGGAAAAAAAAGATTATGATGAATTCTTTAAAATTATTATTTTCACTGGAGTAATCACCTGATCAGAAAAACAGTATTGTAGCAGCT